TAAATTTATTTATCATGAATTAAGAACATAACAATATATATCTTTTTATTTTAGATAACTTTGCTCTTTTATCTTCTATCACTTTTATCTTTCTATTTTAACCATCAACGTGATAAAATCGATATATATACTCTCTCTCTCTCTTTCTCCGTATATATACTTAAATCTATATATATCATTTTCAATATTCTAAGTTGAAAATTACTACAAGATTGCGAGACATGGTTCCACAATCAGATCATAGAATTTCGATAATTGTCATATTTCGTATTTCGATGATTGTTTGGAATGAAACTTACGATTAAGTTGCATAAGATCTATGTATTTCGTTTGTTTCGTTGAATGAAAGAAGAAATAATTGTTGAAAGTAATTTCAATGAATTAAAAATTTAAAAATGTGTATTTCATTTGTTATGATTATTTTTTATTGAATTTGATTGAATAATTTGTTATATTAACTTTATTTTTGTTTGCCCTAGCAATATGTAACTTGTGTTTTATTGGGTGACATGCTCTGTTATTAAATAACTGTAAAATTTTATTCTGATTTGCTATGAAAATATGTAATTTGTCTTTTGTTTGCTGACTATTTTAAATGGTACTGTTATAATAGTAAAATTTTACTCTATTAATATTATCATTTTATTATTTTAATAAATTTTTTATTTAATATTTCTAGTTGTGCTTGTAACAAGTATAGTGACTATGGTGTTTAGTGATGATGGCGATATTTCACTATTTAAATACTAAAATTTCACAATAAATTTTACTGTGAACTAGAGAAAAAAAATTATTGTTAACATTAATTTCGACATTAAAAATTTTAATTATTTTTTAAAAAATAATTTCATGATCAACATTGATTTTATTTAATAAATTTTGATAAGAGGATTATAAAAATACTAATTTTATTAAAAATCAACACATAAATCAAAATTTATATTATTTTAAAATTTAAAATATGAAATTAGTCCTAAAAATATTTTGGTGCGGAATGGATCCAACTTTAGAGAGTGTTTGAACTTAGAGGTGATTTTGGAAGTTAGTTAAAAGTTAATTTTTTGACTTTTTCAACTTTTTTATATTTTATATATAAAATATGTGAGAAGTGATATGACTCAAAATAGATTAAAAATTAAAAACTAACCCTTTTTTTTTTTCTTTTTTTTTCTTCAAATGGCCCCTTACTGACAGAGGCAACTCGAAGGGCGTAGTGATTGGTCACATGACCCCCAACACCCCACGTACACGTGGGGGCAGCAATAGGAGAATGAATGAAAAAAAAAACAAAAAATATGGACCAATCATAATTTATTGGGAGTGGGGGTCACCCCCGTGGAGTCTCACTCTTTTCCCTAATGTTAATGTTTTATTTAATATAATTTAATCCAATTAAAAAATTAAGAGACCCATCGAATAGGACCACAATCATTAAAGATTTATTGTTTGGAAAGTGATTAAAAGTTGGCTTTTTAATTTTTTTTTGTTTAAAAAAACATATAAAAAATGTGAGAGATGAACCTAAAATGAATTAAAAGTTGGAAGATGACTTTTAACGATCTTCTCAAAATAGTTAGTTAATAGTTTTTTTAAAAAAAATTTGAATTTTGTATTTTTTGTCTTTAATGAACTTTTTAAATCTTTTGAATAAATTATTTTTCTTTTTAGATCCACTTAAACTAAATACATTTAAAAATAAAAATATTTATGAAAAATATATTTTAAAATTCACTAAATATAAAAAAATATATCTAAAATTTTATAGATTTTTCACAAATATTTTATTTTTTTGGTATAAGATGCATCTAAAAAATGACAAAAAAAAATTCATAAAGACAAGAAAATACGAAAAATAAAAACTCAAACTTCTTTTGAAATTCAAATCAAGCAGAGCGAATGTTGTTTGGTTTTTAAAAATAAAAATAAAAATGTGAGACGTCAATTTGTGGAGTGACCCTATTTATGAAAATTTCTAGAGTCGCCATTGCTTGTTGGACCCATTTTGGGGCGCGGTGATTCAAACCATTCATTACTACTCATTAAATAGAATATTTATATAAAAAATTAAATTAATCGAATATTAATAACTATACATTTAAATCACAGTTATTTTACAAAAATGAACTGCCATATAATTTCAAGACTATGGTGGTGTGTTTTGACTTTTCAAGGAAAAAATTATATCCTTAAGTTGGTTTGAGATATTCTAAATAAATATATTTTTTGACTTTTTATAAATAAAAAAATGTAAAAAAGTAAAGAAAGTGGTTAAAAAAGTAAAAATGAGATATTAATTGATTTAACCCAAATACGTGTATGTAGATTAAAAAAAAAAATACACTTTAAATTTATCCCAAACACCTACTTATTTTTAATGTATGAAAATTTTATTCTAAAGGGACTTTGACTAAAGTTTTGAAAGAGAATGAGGGTGTTTCATCTGCTTCCCAAGCAACCACCTCTCAAACCAAATTATGTATTCTCTTTTTTTTTTTCTAATATATATTTTTATGACGCGTAATCTCTTTAAGACATAACTTTTAACAAAGTAAATTCTGAATATTTACAAGAGATAAGAGTGAGAACCCCATCACTTTCAGTAAATGTTGATTGGTCTAAATTTTATTTATTTATTTATTTATTTATTTTAGTCCTCCTCTCGTTGCCCCCACGTGTATGTAGGGGTTGTGGGGGTCTAGATCATCTTTGTATTTACAATTACGAACAAACTATAGGTATCAATTAGATATTTGGGATTTTCTTATTTGGTGATTTTTATTTATTTATTATTATTTTCATTTTTAATGAACCTTTTTAAAAACTTTTGAAAAATTTACTCATAAATCCCACATGGGAGAATGTTGATCCATTTAGTCTTAAGAATTTTCTTATGAAACAATTAATCCTTTTTGTTTTGAAAATTTATATTTATTTGATTTAGTGCCATTTGAGTTTGTGTAATTGTCTTTTTATGATTCATCTTTTTAATTTTCTAATTCATTTTTGAGATGCGAATGGAAATATGAGGTATGTAATATTCTTTTTAAAAGGATTGGTGGCTAAAGTGTTAATTGTTGAGTGTGAAAATCTATATTTCTGTTAGTGTGATTTTCTGGTGTTATATTATAATGTTGCATTAAAATGCTACATTTAGAAAAAGTACACGAATGAGTTTTTGTGTGTCATATTGATTGGAGCGTTAAGTTTTTTTGGGATGTTACGTTCTTACATTTGAAAAAAATACACTAAAGAATTTTTAAGTGTGTTAGATTGGAGGGTTACGTTTAGAAAAATTGCACTAAGTAATTTTTGTTTGTTATATTGATTGGAGTGTTACGTTTGAAAAAAGTATAATAAATAATTTTTCTGGAGTGTTACGTTTTAAATTTGAGAAAAGTATATGAAAGAGTTTTTTAGTGTGTTACATTAAAGTATTACGCTTGAAAAAAGTACACTAAAGAGTTTTCTAGTGTGTTACATTCGAGTGTTACGTTTGGAAAAAAATACACTAAGGAGTTTTTTAGTGTATTACATTGAAGTATTACGTTTGAGAAAAGTACACTAAGGAGTTTTCTAGTGTGTTACATTGAGTGTTACGTTTGGAACAAATACACTAATGTTGTGTTTGGTTGGGGGATTTGGAAAGGGAAATGAAAAAGGTAGGTGAAATGTGAATAAAACATACCTATTTCACCTAGTTTCACATACATTTTCCCTTTCCCTTTCTAAATTCCTCTCCAAATCCCTCAACCAAACACAGCATAAAGAGTTTTTGTGTGTAACATTGATTGGAGTAATACGCTTAAAAAAATTACACTAAAGATTTTTTTAGTATATTAAATTAGAATGTTTCGTTTGAAAAAAGTACACTAAGGAATGGTTTTGAAGTGTTACATTTAATAATTTCAACATTATAAAAAAAAAACCCCCACATTTGTCCCTCAACACTATAATGAGATCTTTGGGTCCATAAAAAAAAAAAGAGAGAGGACTAAACAGTTCATAAGATCAGTATTTGGGATTTATTGGTGCTTCTCCTAAAACTTTAGGCTTCAAGATTTAACTCGACTAGACGAACCAAAATATTTAAAAATAATTAAAAAGCTTTAAAAACATAGTCCAGAGAAGATTTAAAAAAATAGTAGACTTTTTTAGCTTATTTTGACTTTTAAAATTATTTTTAGAATTTAAAAAAAAAAATGACTTGTTTGATTCGTCTACACAGAATGGACCAAAAAAAGTAAAAAATTTTAAAATAATTTTAAAAAAAATCACTAAATATTTTTTTAAAAAAAATTAGAAAAAGAGGTGCCTTGTATAGAGGTGGCTTAAGATGTGTATGACCCATCCTCGTGATCGTTGTTTGAATTTGCACTTTTAGTGATTTTTTTTCTTTTTTAGTTAGGTGTTTTTTTTTTTTTTAATTTAAGTTCTAACCGACTAGAAAGGTTACAATCGGAAAAAAAAAAATCACCTAAAATAAAAAAAGATAATAATAATTTTTTTTGTCTTTCGTTAAGGTTTTTGAATTTTAAACAAAAAAAAAAAATAGTGTTTAGGTACTTCTACACAAGATGAACTCAAAAATCAAAAAATTTAATATAAATTTGAAAAGAAAAAAAATTCATTAAAAACAAGTTGGAAAAAAATATATATGTGATTTTTTTTAACTAGAATCTCTTTCAAACACGACTTTTGAACCCACTCTTACAAAATAAATTTCGAATAACTACAATTACAATTTTACAAATAAACTAATAAAGGTATCAGTTGAACCCAAACAAAACCGACAACAATCAAATTCTCAAGTTTTTGACTCACTCGAGAGATTCAATGTTTGTTATTAGCATCTCTAGACTTGGTAGCCTCTTCTTTTGATTCATGGTAAGTTATATGATGCGAATTCAAGGGTGCATAGAGAAAAAGAAATATACAAGAAAAGAAAAGAAAATGGATTGGAGAATTTTCCGGGAAAATAAGATTGTGGAAGAGAAACTTACAGGGACAACATCAATCCAATGGAGGGATATAAAGGCACCAATCAAGAGGAAGAAGAAGATGATGGAAGGCCTCACCAGATCTCCGGTCTTCATCGGCCCCTTAACAATCTTTGAAAGAAACACACTGCATATCCTACCTCCATGCAACGGATAACCGTGGTTTGCATGATGAATATTTTCTTCTTCCATAACCAGATTTTCCTTTCCTCCAAACACTAATCTTCACCGCCACTATTAATCAACAACCTCTTTTAGCCTCCATTGACTTGACTAATTAAAGTAAGATTTAAATAAATCAAAATTAATTGTTGTCATCAATAGGAAAGCAAATGGAATGAAGAGGAATAAATAAATAAATAAATGAAAGTCAGCATAAAGGCAACATCAAGGTTCAATAATGGTGAGCTAACCCATTTAAGTTGTCGCTATGTGTGGTGCAAATTTTTTTTTATTTTTTTTCCTGATATTTTCAATTTCGCATCTCTACTTGAAAGTCTTAAATTGAAACATCTCTAAAACATCTCTCTCATTGTGCTTATAATAAAAATGAGTTCAAATTTGTTAAAATTAAAAACCTTAACTTTACGGATAAAATTGACGTATTATGACATTGATATTGTACGGGGAGCAAAGATTTCAACGTGCTCGTATTCCTTTCTTTCAAGCTCCCTGTCTGTCCGATCGATCTGCGAACACAATGGCGGTGAGCTACCCGGCGGTGTGTGGCCAGAAAACCCCTCCGACGGTCAAGTTAGCACACACTCAAGGATAAAGAGAGAGAGAGAGAGGAGAGAGTTGAATGTCTAAATTTATCTCACCAAATGATCATCTGCCTCAGCATGGGGGGCGCAGACATGCTTATATACCTTCTGCGCCCCAAATCTACTTTCATTAGTCTCTCGACACGTGGTGCTGTTATCCCATCTGTCAGCACAAATCCAGCAATCACCACCTAACCAAACTGTCAGGATATCTTGGCGAAGCCCGACAGACCGACGGAACCACCTCGGCTTCTTATGACCGCGCTGCGCGGTATATCTGAGCGATCCACTCGCTGAGCCCCAGAACAACCGAGCTTGGTTGCATTCCGGCAAGCCGAGCCCGAGGTAGGTCGAACCGGTTAGCTGTAGGCCTTCCTGCCGAGTTGAACGCACGAACCGTGGAATCTGGAATGGTAGGCAATCATCTCGGCCAAGCAACTTCAAGTAGCCCGGTTTCTACACAAACGAGCCCAAGTAGCTCGATCCAACATGGCCCTGTGCCTTAACCAAGCAAAACCTCTCTGGACAAGCCCAAGCTACCGCAGCCCAAACGTGTTCGGCACTCAACTTGCCCGGGCTTTGCCATGGCCCATTTCAGCTCATAAAATCTCTCTCTCAATTGCCCCTTAATTCCGTCCGCACAAGCGTGACTGGGATTATAAGATCCAACCGGAGTAAACTCTTCCTCTGTCCTCAGTTTGCAAATAGTTAACCGTGCTAGTCGACATGCCTGGTTTCCAAACTTGCCTAGTCGACGTCTCATCTCACCTCCCTGTCTCTTCAACTCTGACGTCGCCATTAATTGGGACACGCGTTGCTCGTTTATTGGCCTCGAGCAGCCAACCCTCACGTCCCTTCACATTAAAAAATTTTGGGGGTCTCTCTCTCATATATACGTCATTTCTCCCTTCATTTCGTTCTTACTGACTCTCCTTCAGTTCTTGACATTCCAGAGCTCCAGAGCCTTCGAAGAGCTTCATTCCTGTGTCTTGCTGTGTTCGTGCTTGAAGACTCACCTCCAGCCCCATTCTGGTAAGTTCTTCGACCCCTTTATTGTTATTTCATTTGATATTCTTCGTTTTAGGGCACAAAAACCATAGATTTTAGGGTATAGCTCCCCAAAACCCTCCCATGCCCCTTGTCCTCCTTGCTGTTCTTCAACCCCAGTAATGAACACCTGAAGATCTGGGGCGGACCGGGCTCCAGGTTTTCTCTTGATCCCAAAAAACATTAAGACCGAGCAAATTGGTAGTTTTAAGAAAACTTCTGTAGAAACCGAGGTAGGCAGAGTACTTGACCAGTCGACCAGGCTAATATCTGGTCCGCTTGACTGAGGTGGTCTGGCACTCCATCAGACCGAGCTAAAGTCAAGCTCGTTTTGCGCGACCGTGCTTTCACTTACACTTACCCTCCTTTTTCTGCAGAGGCTCTCTAAGACCGAGCAGCCATCAAGCAAGAGTTTGTGCCAAACCACCTCAGCCAAGCTAAAACCAGCCGGCCACACATGGGGCGCTACCGCTTCCTGGTCGACACCCCGGTCGCTCTAGCCGCGTTCTGGGAAGAATACGGTATCCCGGACGATGTTCATTTAGAGCTCGGCGTTGAGGACATAACCCCATGGGGCAGATTAGACCAGTGTCCCTTCACCGTGCTGTCCATTATAAAAGGAGGTCTCCGCTTCCCGGTTAACCCGCTGATCTGTGAATTCTTGCGGCGCACCGGGCTAGCTCCAACCCAGGTCTCAACCAACACTTACAGAATAATCAACGTTATCCATGAACTGAACAACTGGCTAGGAACCAACCTGGGACTAGCCGAGATACTACGCCAATATACCCTCAGGCATACAGGCGATGGCCTTGCCTACTATTTAAAAATCAGACCGGGCAAGGAGAAGATAGTGACCGGCACCCCAGACAAGGACTTGCACGACGATGACTTTTTCTAGGTGTCTGGTAACTACGAAACAGCCGACGTACCGGGTTGGTTTATCAGCAAGAATTTCGGCGAGACATGTAAGCCGTGCTAACTGCTCGGTCAATTTATCTTTCTTCACTATTCTGTACTTAGCATTTTTTCTTCTTTCCTTTGCAGCAATCGAAGCCCTGCAAGACCACTATCATTATCCTAACGAAGCAGCCATCAGAACCGTGCTCCGCTACTGCAACCAGGATTGCCACTAGCTCCTCGGTTACAAACCGACATATAGATATTCAGCTCCACGCTGGAGTAAAGTCACAAACTTTCTTCGCGCTCCATCTCCACCTCCCGATCCCACGTTACCGGACGTGCCATTCATCCGGTTGACCGAGGCAGAAGAGATGGCCAAAAGAAGTCGCATCAAGAACCTCATCACTGCCACCTCCACCGAGATACCGAGCATCCCGACCCACTCTCCTGCTGCCGGGCAATCCAGCGAAACCGTGGCCACACTGGCGTCTCCCGTCGCCGGGCAAGCCAGCAAAGACAACCGTCGGGCTAGCAAAAGGCCACGTGCAGACCCTTCCGCTTAGCTAGTTGCGGAGCTCAACACCGAACAACCTGCCGTGATAACTGACCCAACTCCGTCGTGGAGGCCCCAACTCAAGCACTGGGGTAAAGAGATCCCGGCGATCGCCTCAGTCAAAAGTGATAAGGAGCACCTACTGGCCTTCGATCTGACCAAGGCCTTGCTGCTGCCGAGCGACGTGGTTGGCAGCGACCACATGCCAGACGCCCGACTGGTGAAGTCTTCGGCGAAGTCCATGACCAGGGTAAAAACTTCGCACACTTTGCCCAAAAAAGAATTTTCAAAGTGTTTGCTCTGCTTTCTCCCTAATCGAACCTTCTTCTTACAGGCTATCCAGAAACAACAATTGGTCTTGGAGCGCATTCACCGACTCCGGCAGAAGGCCACAGACTCTGCCAACCAGGTGGAACAGCTTCATGCCAAGCTGGGGCGATCAAAGACTTCGCTCGAGATGGAAAATTCTGACAACTCAAGGTTGCTCAACCAGCTAGGTGTCGCCGAGCAAGAAAGGGACGCTCTCCGGACTGAGCTGGAAGCGTTGAAGCAGTCAAGGAAGGAGGAGCTAGAGGATGCCAACAACGTTGGTTTCAAGGAGGCCGAGGAGAGCTACACAAAGCAAGTCCATGCCACCCAAGACATACACTTCCAGGCGGGTTGGAAGGCTGCTTGTGAACAGCTTGGCCAAGGATCTGGGACCGACGTGTTTGCCTCTCCTCCAGCTGTTTTCCTGCCGACGTACCTAGTGCCATATGCCAACGACGTCTTCAGCGCATTACAGGCTGAGGCCGAGGAAGAAGAAGTTGAAGACGCCGAGGAGAATGTGAAAGGTGACAACCACCCAAATCAGGCCCGCCAGGAGAAGACCGGCGCCCAGGTGACCACAACCACGGCCGACCTGGAGGCCTCGATCGGGGATGAATTCACAGACCTTTCCCTCCTAGCTTAGTTTTCTTTGTCTTCTTTTTTTTTGTTTGAATATGTAACTGGGCTATCTGCCCTCCTCTTGTAATTATTTTGCACATTAATGAAAAAGTTCAATTTTCATCAAGTGTTTGCACGGTCTTCGAGCTAGATAACTTCAGCCGGACAAAATACTTCGGCAAAACAAACCATCTTGTTTAACTTATTTAACCGAAAAAGACATCTCGGTTTGAATCATAAAGTTGAGTAAATCATCAACTCAGTCAACCGAAGTAAAGCATCTCGGTTGAAGTTTCACAAAAGTTGAATAAATCTTCATCTTGGTCAACTGGAGCAAAACATCTCGGTTGAAGTTCAAAGAAGTTAAGTATATCATCAACTTAGTCCAGCGGAATAAGACATCTCGGTTGAAAACCTCAAAGTTAAACAAATCATCAACTTAGTCCACCGGAACAGAACATCTCGGTTGAAAACCTCAAAGTTGAGCAAATCATCAACTTAGTCCACCCAAATAAAACATCTCGATTGAAATCTCAAAGTTGAGTAAATCATCAACTCAATTAATTGGAATAAAACATCTCGGTTGGAAACCTCAAAGTTGAGCAAATCATCAACTTAGTCAACCGGAATAAAACATCTCAGTTGAAAACCTCAAAGTTGAGCAAATCATCAATTTAAGTAACCGGAATAAAACATCTCGGTTGAAATCTCAAAGTAAAAAACATCAATCTGAATGCTAAAGCAAAGATGAGACACTTCCATTATATTGACAAAAAGAATATCATATTCTGAAGTGTGAGGCAAAAAATTCCTTTGGACAAAAAGAACACAAAAGCTAAAAATAGTACAGTTTGAGATTGGCCGCATTCCATGGCTGGGGTATTCCTCTTCCCTCCAAGTCCTCCAAGTGGTATGCCCCCTTGCCCGCCAAACCGGTTATCTTGTAGGGTCCTTCCCAGTTTGCACCTAGTTTGCCTTCACCTGGCACTAGGGTGTTGCCAATGACCTTCCTCAAAACCCAGTCGCCGACTTTGAACGGTCTGGGGTGCACCGTTTGGTTGTATTTCTTGAAAGTTCTTGTTGGTAGGCGGCCACATGGATGAGAGCCTTTTCTCGGCGTTCTTCTACTAGGTCCAATTTCAGGG